ATGTGTGTGTGTGTATGTATATATATATATAAAAATTCATATAGATATTTTTTCTATATGTAGTGTACCTGATACGTATAACTGGCAAAATGGTGATGGATTTTCACTGTATGTAGTGCAATTACATTACAAGGATTACAAGGCTGCCCTTTGTAATGAGGTGGTAGAAGTGCCAAGGGACTTGGTCTGGTGTGGCTAATGCTGTAGTCCCATGCAGCAGTAAAAGTCTGACCCTCCTGCTGACTCAAACTGCGACCTTGGGCAGTGCTCTTTGCCATTTGCTGACAGGTGCCAGTGCTGTCTGCACATTTCCTTGAGCAGACGTGTTCCTGGCTAATACTTGTGTAGACTTTGTAATGTGTAAAACATAGAATGGAATTAATCTAAAAAAGTGTTGACCGTGTGTATGGATAATTCAGTAACAAGGGATAAGTTTCACACCTTTTTACACTTTGCAAATAGATTTTTTTTTCTCTGAAGTCACTTCTTCATGGAAATAACTTTTATATTCATTCTGATTCATGTAATTGACTACATTTTTTTTTCAGGATGATGTTGCTATGGCTGCAAATGTGTTAGAACTGCTGTTGAAACTTGTGCTTCTGATTGGCCTTACCATCACGGTTTTTGGCTATGCCTATTCTCAGCTGGCTCTGGATATTTATGGAGGCTCAATGCTCAGTTCTGGAACAGGTAAAGATTTACAAAGCTGGCAAAGAAGCCATTCTTTAAAAAGAGAAATTGCAGCTATTACGAATTCTTGGTTAAACCAGCAGAATTTTTTTCTCTAGAATTCCGATTGAAATAAATTACTTAGCTTGGTTGAATCTAGAACTCATACCTTTGTAATAGCATCTTTAATACGTAGGCACCTTAAACTAAAATGTGCTGAGGAGCTCTAAGTAAGTATCAGGTTTGGAGCTCTACCTTCCTGCATTTCATGTCATTGGAAAAGAACATTTTAAAGGATTGTTTGACTACTCCATGATGTAAAATTGTTTAACAACAACCCCCAAAACCCATACAACAAATTGAAAGAAAAGAATCCATAATTTTAGCATAACAAAAATAATACTTCCTGTATAGTGCTAAACCATGTAATTGTAACAATCCTGCTACAGTTGTACATATTACACAGAACCACAGAACGTCAGGGATTGGAAGGGACCTCCAAAGCTCATCCAGTCCAATCCCCCTGCTGGAGCAGGAACACCCAGATGAGGTTACACAGGAAGGCGTCCAGGCGGGTTTTGAATGTCTGCAGAGAAGGAGACTCCACAACCTCTCTGGGCAGCCTGGGCCAGTGCTCTGTCACCCTCACTGAGAAGAAGTTTCTTCTCCAATTGAAGTGGAACCTCCTGTGTTCCAGTTTGTGTCTGTTAGCCCTTGTCTTGTCATTGTTTGTCACCGAGAAGAGCCTGGCTCCATCCTCGTGACATTCACCCTTTAAATATTTATAACCATGAATGAGGTCTCCCCTCAGTCTCCTCTTCTGCAAACTAAAGAGCCCCAGCTCCCTCAGCCGCTCCTCATAAGGGAGATGCTCCACTCCCTTCATCATCTTTGTAGCCCTACGCTGGACTCTCTCCAGCAGTTCCCTGTCCTTCTTGAACTGAGGGCCCAGAACTGGACACAATATTCCAGATGTGGTCTCACCAGGGCAGAGTAGAGGGGGAGGAGAACCTCTCTCGACCTACAACCACCCCCCTCCTGATACACCCCAGGATGGCATTGGCCTTCTTGGTCACAAGGGCAAGAATATATTGAGGGGTAAGTTTTACAAATCTGTCCACAGAAGCAGTTAAGGAATTAGTAGATCAATTTGGATTTTCGGGAGAGAATATAGAGATTCATTTAATTCCTGTTTGAAATGTTAACACAGAAATTTTAGCCTTGAGTTTTCTTGAGGTTTTTCAGTTGCCCTACAGTAGCTCCTGCTTCAAAAACCAGTCTACCTTCTATAGCTGAGCCTTGTGTAATGGCTCTCTTCCTTTCTCATTGATCTTGGGTGAAGACCTAGCAGCTCCTCAGAGGAGCATTTTTGTTGCGCTTCTGTCTGGAAATTTTGCCCATGTGCCCTTGTGAGAGAGTTCTTGCTTGTATTTCCATTTCACATCTATTGTAGTTAAAAGAAAGTTACAGGGAAGATGCAAGGATGTGACAGCACCTTGGGTGACAGTTGCACCTTCAAACCATAACCTTGGACTGTTGCTTATTGGGTGTTAAAATAAATTGCAGTTACTTTATTCAGTGTTAAGGTAATTGATATATTCTAACCCCATTGGCACTTTTCTCTTTTTAAATGTTAAACGTTGAAGTATTTTTGCTTTAAACCCTTGCATGTTACTTAGAAGCTGGTGCTTTGATTTTACGAAAAACTATGTGTCTGCATAACCAAGAAAAAGTGTTAATTTCTGCATGCTGTTTTGACTTGTCTTGCTGCTGGTTCTCTCAGATTTGTTTCTAATTTTGCAAGCAAATGTTGTGAAAAGTCGTAACTCTGGGCCCTGGCAGCCAACTCTTTTTTTATGAAGAAATTGTTTTCTGTCCCTCTTTTGCTTCAAGGATGGGTGTCTGGGCCTAATCTTTTAGGCATGCTTACTTGGCTGTGTTTAGGAGTATGGATTCAAGTCAAGTGACTCACAAGTGACTTTAGTTATTTTTTTACACAATGATAACGTGTGGAAATGAAAAGCTGAGCATGCGTACCGACTGTCTTGACCTGCTATTCATGGGTGTATTCATTTGGATTTTCTCCTTTTTTTTAAGTGCTCTCTAGTCTAATATTTTTTGCATACTTGAAAAGAAAGTCTTCAGCGCTGCCCCATGTCTACAGTGTATTCACTGCTCGTTGGGCAGTTGTTCTTTAGCACTGAAACAGGAGGAGGCTGGGTCAGATGGACTACATTGCTGGCATCAAGAAGGAATATTCAGGGATGTACATCAACCTGTTAAAAAGCATGGGAATTTCTTCCCAGTGTTACAATTTCTAAAGGACAAGAAAAGACTAAGCTCTGATTGAAGAATTTTGAAGCAATATATAAATGATCTCTGACCCATAAAAGTCTGAATATGATTTCTTTGTCTAGCACAATTTTGAATGTGTTAAACAGCCTTTCTGTTTTTCTTACTGTTGTGATCAAAATGTACATTTTATTGCTTTTAGTTCACCACAGTAACTCTTGGATTGATTTCCACAGATTTCTGTACAATAGAAGATTTGAGTTATGATAAATATTAATAATTAGGAAATACCTTTTGATAAAATGCATTTTCAATGGATATGTTTTCTGTTACTACAGTAAGTGCTATTCTTGGGTGGTGTGGGTTTTATTTTTTGTTTTAATTTTGCCTTGTTTATTTGTGTTCTTGCCAAGGTATCGAGACAGGAAACTTGTTCAAATGAACTGAAGTTTCCGTTATTAGTGATAACATTACAACTTTTATCTCTTAATATCAGTGAGTGTAAAAACAGTGTGGTTTTATAGAAGAAATAATCTGCTTACCATTCTAATGTGTTTTTTAGGTCCAGATCTCCTCCGATGTTACTCTTTATATGTCCTATTCCTTGCTATCAATGGAGTAACAGAATGTTTTACGTTTGCTTTGATGTGCAAAGAAGAGGTAGACAGGTAGGAGATAGTGTCCCCAGAATATTCCTGTGATTAATCTGCAGATGGTTTGCTTGGCACTCGGTAAACAGAGCAATTATTCTGCCTGGATATGTGTATGGAAATGCTTTCCCTCCCCCCCCAAAGAGCAAATTCCTTTCTGCAGTCACTTTAAGAGCTATGTTCCTTGTCTCCAGAGCTTAGTGTAACAGATGTACAAGCAAACATGCACTGCTTTTGTATTTAACATTCTTGTATTTGATAAATTTTTAAGACGGATGTTTGTTTGTAATGACCTCATAAAGATAATAGGTGCATTTGAGATCAGCATAAAAATATCCTGCCCCACTGGAAACCACCTCTGTTGAGTTGTTTGCATGTAGATTTAGATGTAGAAGCTTTAGCAAATGTTAAAATGTTTGGGTAAAAGGGACAGAAATGAATAAATAAAAAGATTGTTACGTTAGCTTTTGGGGCCTTGCTAACTGGAAAAGTAATTTAATTGTGAAGTCTTGTTTGTTTACCCCTGTGCTTGAAGTTACAGTTTTTAAGACAGGTTATCACTTAACTTAATAGTTGCAAAACTTTAGTTTTTTCATGTACAGTTACTGTTCATGTAAGTTTTCATGTTACATTTACTTCTGAATTATCTAAATTGTGGATTTGAATTCAGCAGTTTACCTGCTTTAAGTCAGAGGTTAGACAGATGACTTTGAGATCCCTGCCCACCTGGATTATTTCTTGATTCTCTGTTCATTTTGGGTTATTGGCTTTGAAGCCCAGTTGCCTTCTCAGTGCTTTTTTTGCTTATGTAGTGGCTCTCACAAAGCCTTTCCACATTAATTTCAATGAGGTCCACTTTCCACAGTGTAGACTCAGCAAGGGCTGCTTTCATGACTCCTTTAGAAGTGTGAACTTGTTTTCAAAGCCGCTGTTTGGAGCAGAAACTAAATAAAGCATCTTCTTGTTGAGATTCTCTTTCTTTAATACATACCTAAAATAAAATAGCAAAAAATCCACAGGTTTTTACATTTTTACATTACTTGATCATTGTTACTAAATTTGGCTTTCTGAATTGAATTTACTGAATTTATTGAATTTATTGAATTACATATGATTGGTAACACAGAATTTCCTTCACATATTGCAGTTCTTGGTTTAATTTGTTTAATGTATTTTCCATTCTTTCAGTGATATTTTTTTTTTAATGAACATTTCAGTTCTCAAATTTATATTCTTCCATTAGAAAATGGTAAGAGAACTTCTGTTCCTCATTTTGAAAAAGAAATTGTGGTATTTCTTCAAAGGTAAAGTTAGTAAATACTGTAAGTGTATGCATTGCTGAATGGTTTTTGTTTTTTTCCTAGGTACAATTTTGTTATGCTGGCCTTGTCCTTCACATTCCTGTGCATTTCTTATTTCTTGACCCACTGGTATGGCAGTATAGGCTTTATCCTTGCCAACTGCTTTAACATGGGCATTCGAATAGTTCACAGCATCCACTACATCTATGATTACTTCAAAGAAAGCACTTACCGACCTTTGGCAGGCTTGCTGCCCTCACCATTTTTGGTGCTCGTTTATATCATAAGTGGAGTAATCACTGGTTTCTCAGAGGTAAGCATCTTTCTCAGAGTCTGCCTTCACTGTGAAAGTTAGTGTCCGATGACATCTGTGTCCACAAGCAGAGAAACACCAGTAGCAATAAAGGCTTATGAGGATAGGGTGGAATACTGCCATTACAGACAAGGGAAGACACAGTATCAAGAGTTTTTATCTTCAGTACAAAGTTATCTCTGTCAGCTGTAGAAGGTGTATCTGACAAGTAAAACAAAACGCAACACAGTTCTGCTGTGTGTAGATAAATCTGTGTCCTTAGCTCTTAACAAGAATTGAAATTTTGCAGTAGCACAAAGAAACTGTTATTAAAAAATTCTGTAATAAAAAGCAACAGAGGAAAAACAACCAAACCAAAACATAAAAATTGCCAAAAAGCACATTTATCACATTCAGTCTACGGGATCGTAATTGCACACACTGATTGTTATGGAGATGGTAGCATTTCAATGTACAAAAATTTGACAGATTGAAAATCCATTATGCCTTAGAAAGGAGAGCTTTGTATTTTGGAATGAAAGATTTCCAGTGGGGCTTTGATAGAAAATAGCCTAATATGTTGCTGCAAAGTAGCAGACTTGTGTGATAGCACCAGTAGCGTTTTTCCTAATATTAACATGTTTCCTGATATTAACATGTTTCTGCATGCCAGATAATAGTAATTCCCAGTTTATCAGGTATCTGCTGAATGCTCATTTTTTGCTGACTGAATTTTCTTAACAGAACATTGTGACTCCTAAAGATGATTCACTGTAGGCTCAGTGCATGTGGCAAAACGACACTCAGCTTGGTGGTGGTGTTAGCATGGCCAAGAGAGGTGTCGGACCTTATTTTTTACTGAGACAGTAAATCTGCTGTGTGCTGACTAGTTTTCCTGTGATTGCTTGTTTCCTTTGTTGTAGGTATTCTTCTGCTGTGATAAGGGTTGGATGGCAAGGCTGATTCACATCAGCGTGGGGGCTTTGTGCTTTGCAGCAACTGTCGCCACAATGTTCTGCACAGAGACCAAGCTGATCCACTTTGTCAGAAGGCAGTTCCTTTCCTGGTACATGAAGAAAGGAACATGAAATGCTTATGTGCAAAACAGTTCTCGTATGTGCTTGCGGGAAAGGGTTGTATTTTTTGCATAACATCTGTATGGAAAAAGGTTTCCACGTGTGTTTATGGGAAGCATTGGTATTGGAGTGACAATGGTAAAAGGTTGCCAACTGAATATTTGGTCTTCTAAACTGGTCGGTGTATTGGAAGAGAGCTGAGTGATTTTTGTCTTTATGCATCGTTCTTTTCTAAGCTTTTCTTCCAACAGCCTCTTTGGTAATGAATGAAAATCTAGGGTATACCCTTCTGACATAGTTGACAGGCTTCATGTGGAGACCTCCCGTTCTTACCAATGTGTGGTACATGTATGAAGGCATCGTATGGCTTACGTTGTAAGGTGTCATGAAGGATGCCCTTATCTGGCATGGCGGGCTGCTTAGCTGGCTAGAAAATTAAATAAACCTAACCAACCACAAAACGAGAAAAGCTGAAGAAGACACTAGAACAAGGACCAATAGCAACAGAACTGCTGCTGAAGTGGAGCATAATGTGGTCAGAGAGACCGAGTTGTCAGTGTTTTGAAGTGCAAAGTGATGAACAGAAATTTCTGACGTTTACAAGTAAATTAATGGAACACGCAGCTTGTGTCCGTGCTGGGTGTGAAGGATTATTTCATTCAGCGTATCATTCATTTATAAGGGTATTGATTAACTTGTCAAAAACAGTCTGAAGGCTTAGCTGAAAGAAAAACAGGGTTCTGAGCAGTGTTTTGCAGGAAGTTTTAAGTACAGTCGCACTGACACTGAAGTTTGAGAAAGTTAATCATGAAACTTCTTTCATTCCATTGTTTTTTGTTTTTATCTGAGATTTTAAATGCCAGCACGAACAGATTTGTCTCAATAAAAATTATCTTGTCTGTGAAATATATGTAATAAGGTTTCTTTCAAGGATTTATGCATATTGAAACTTAAATTATTGGATAGAAAATGCTTCAGTTTTTCTCATGTCTTGTTTCTTGATCTGTCTTAACCATTTTATTGATTTGTTTTTTCTTTTTTTTTTAAATTGTTGAAAATTTGGAAACTCAGAAGTTGTAAAATTAGATATTAGGCTGCTGTTTTAGATTTACTGATGGTATACCTTATTACTGGTCTAAGATCTGAATTTGGCAGTTTCAGAATGTACAAGTGCCATGTTTATAATGATCAGTGTTCCCTTCGCGGTGTTTGGATGGACCAGAAAATTTCAAGCGATGAAAAATGTGTGCCCAGACACGTACAGTCAAAAGCTTTTAGTTCACTTGTGTAGCAACTCCGCAGATCCTCAGACCTCTTAAAAAAACCACTTCCTTGAAATGGCATTGTGGAGTTCATCCTGGTAACCACAGTTCAGTGTGAAATGCTTTGTGGTATCACTGTCTTCAGTTCTGGTACTGCTTGGACCATTGTCTAAACACTGGTAATTTTCTCACGGAGAACATCGCAGGAGGTACTTTACATGAGAAGTTGTTAATTGGAAAATTATTACAGAGAAGCCAAAATGTAACAGTGAAAGAGAAGGGTGCACTTCCTCAGCTAACGGTGGTGTCTCCTTTGCCTGGCTGGGAGGTAGTAGTTAAACTTGCTGATTCTTCTGAAGTTGTTACGAAATCTGTCAAAATAAAACAAACTCTGTTATTTTCTTCTGTTAAGCGAATTCTTTAATTTCTAAAAATTTCTCTTTTGAGTTGTCTTGCAGCTTTTTTTTCTTGTTTCTAGCAGGTATAAAGCTGGTTATGAAGTACGCTCTATTGCAGAGGGTTGGGACTCCTTTATTATAAACTGGCAGTGCATACAGTTTCTTCTTTACTTGTTCATAATTCAAAAAAACCTCCAAGATAGTTGAAATTAATGGCTCTTTTTTAGGGTCTGTCATCTTCTGTGTGACTTTGGAACCTTACTGTGGTAATATCTCAATGTATACAATGAATTTTAATAACTGCTTGGAATAAGATATTTTGTGTAGCCCTGCACTTAAAGCGCTTTGGAGACTGAAGAAAGTTTTGTACAAAATGAGCTTGAAGTAAATAAGGTGATGGGAGATCTCTCCTTAAAGAGTGAGCTATCTAGTCTCATAAGTCTTTTTAACATAAATGCTGTGTATGCATTTAAAGAGTTACATTTTTAAAGTAATTAGTTTGATTTCATATTGGAAAGGCTTATAAATATCTCTTGCATCTCAACAAGTGAAAATGCAATTTCGTATGAATCAGGAAGACATTTAAGGTGGCTTAATCGTTGCTCATTCACAAATTAAGGATACATTCCTCTTTTAAACTTGATCTGTAAGCAGTTCAGTGATGGCTGGATTTTGTGCTTGGGTTTTTTTGGTTTCGATTGTTATTTTTTTAAATTATGTGACAGGATACTGCAAGGAGAGACAGGAAGTCTAGACCTATGGAGCTGTCTCCTGATTTCTTATTTATCTGTGTGATCCTTAATGTGAAAGCTGTTAATTGCTTTATTTATAAAGAATGAAGT